CCCCCCCCCCCCCCCCAACCTCTTTTTTCTGAAACTTGCAAGAGTGGAACAATTTAACATAACAAGAGGAAAAAATTCATAAAATCCTTGGACTTGGTTAGTTATACTTTAATTGTTTCCGTGTGTACATACTCATTTGATACCATCCATGCTGATAACAGAACAAAAATCTCATTAAAACAAATCACATGAATTCATCAGATATGGCTCGAAGTATCTCAACGTATCTGCCTATTTGCATCTGTAACAAGCATCTTTACTGCGTGCATGTGCAGCACAACAACATTGACATCGATCCAATATATTCGTATTCTTAAATTTAGGTCCATAACGTAGCCAAGCAACATTGCTTTCCTAAACAATTTGACAGTTTGGTCATTTTAGAACCTTAATTTGATAGACTTGCACCAATTTCCAATGATATCTTTAGCCCGCATGTGTTTCTCTTCATCACATTGTGATTATAGTTTTTTTCAGCATACTTTAATATTATGTAAGGAGCATGATTTCCGCAAACAGAAAAGGATTCGGCAACAGCAATTATATGCAGAAACGTGCACACTATTGTTAGGATTACAGAGCTTAAAGCACAACAATGCTATTCTGCTTGAAATTTACATGGTAAGGAAAAAATTGGGACAGAGCATTTGCCTAACACAGATGGTTGCAACCGCAGCTTATTGTAGTCATACTTAAAAAAATAAAACACTCATAATCATGCCAGTGATATATAAATATAATTAGCTTACCAATATGTGTCATTCATTAAACAGAGATATATTGGGTAGAAAAAGATAAAAACCATACTTTGGTGCAAGAGAGAATGGGACTGGCTCTCTAGCAAAAGTTGGATGAGGAAGTCCAGGCAAATTGCAACTTATGCTAATGTAAGCAGGCTTGCACTCCTTTAAAGCAGTTGAAATTGCAGTGTCAATCTGCTCATGTGCATCATCCAAGTAATTCACCACTGCCTGTTACATTATCATCAAGCTTGCGATTATCACTCCCATTGTATGAAAACATTCATTACACTTCTACATTAATCAATTCTATGAAATCATACTTAACTAAAAGAATAAAACATATTCAAATTTTTTTTTTTGTGTGGTGTGTTATAGTAGCATAAATTCAACTGTCAAGAATCAACCTCATAAGATTAAGTAACCAGTTTCATCCCTGCCAATTAAATTATTATGAAGGATTGATGAGATACAGTCTCCTATTTATTAATTTATTGAGACCGGTCTTGTAACCCTTTCAGATACAGTAAACAACCATACAATCCCCACCATCAAAGATTAACATTAGGATGTACCATACTATGGTATAGGCTTTATTAGACCCATCATGTAACATTTCCATGCACTACCTAAAAAAATTTCAATACCATAATTTCACTAGTAACCGTAGGTTGATTTGATACATTTGTAAGCATTAGTTGTTGATTGAAATTAATAATGTATACAAGAAGTATGACACTCAAACTAGGATTTTAATATATAAATCGGAAGTTGTAAAGTACTTTTCAACATAAATGAAACAAAAGCGCTTTACCCAACACAATGCAACATTTTCAGCTATATTTACCCAAAAAGAACATTGCTAGCTCTAAGTTGACTGACCTGAGTACAAGTAATGGTCTGAAAACACCGAAGCTCCTGAGTAAAATCCGGCAACCCAATAGTATGATGCAAAATCCGATTAGTCCCGTAATCATTGGAGTTGGGCCCACCCACAATACAGATCACCGGCAAGTTCTCACTGTAGGCCCCAGCGATGGCGTTGAGCACACTGAGCCCACCCACAGTAAACGTGACCACACAGGCCCCCACGCCCCTCGCACGTGCGTAACCATCGGCGGCGTAGCCGGCGTTCAGCTCGTTGCAGCAGCCAACTAAATTAAGCTCCGGTTCGGCTAGTAAGTGATCCAGTAACGCCAAGTTGAAGTCGCCGGGAACGGAGAAGACGTCTTTCACGCCGATTTGGACCAGTCTCCGAGCTATGTGCCGGCCTAGGCTACCGCTTGACTGGCAGGCCGGGATCGTAGCCGGGTGAACCACCGCACCCATATGATTGGCAGCTTCCATTATGTTTAAAAGACTGAGAGAAACAGAGAATTTAAGTTCGGGGTTTTGAGAACAGTAGGATTTGAAGGTGGTTTTTGGGTGGTGTCATATATATAGGTACATATACATGGTGTGTGTTTGTGTGTGTGTGAGAGAGAGAGATCGTTTTGATTCTTCTCAAGACAGTGGGCAGCGGTGGACAAGAAATGGTGGAAAAGCTACTAGGTTGGGTTGCATTTGATTAAAAGTAATTGAATTTATTCACCGAATTACAGATCTATAATATTAAAAAATAATTTTTGAGTACAGGATTTTGATTCTGAGTATTATAGTAATTTTTTTCTTGGAGAACAATGGTGGATTTGTCGTTTCATGTTTGATTATTTGCTTTGATTGTTGTTTCTGGGTTTAGGACTTTTTCTGATACAGCAAGTGGTAAGAAAGACCACCGTTTGGAAAACCAAACCAGAGACTGTTTTAGCTTTGAGTAATGGTTTTTCAATATTCAAGTGGGATTGGTGACGTGTTTGAATATTATGCATTGGGCCATTTTGGACATGGCCACCTGTGTTACTACAGTAATGCCAATTTATCGTAACATAGAGTCAACTCGCATTAACCAGTTGAATTTGTTAAACATGTAAGATAGTATTAGTCATACAAATTAGACTATGTATTCCGACAGTGACCAATCTCATTATAAATTTTTCACTCTAATTATATTTGTTTATCAAGTCATATAAAACAATTCAAGTTGAAACGCTAGCAGCTCACTATCTTTAAAGATATTCAAGCCCTCTACAAATGACAAAATTCAAAATCGCTGCATCAAACCTTCTCATTTACTTATATAAATATTGTTGAGGACACTAAGCGAGAAATTTATTTCGTCCAATTAAACTAGACTAAACATTACACATCTTTCACAGCACTAAAAATGTTGTAAAAATATCAATTCAAGAATGCTAAAAATTAGATGATAAACAAGACAAGAAAACTTATCGATAGAGGCGTATAGTCACTGTCCTTATGAATAGATTTTCGCCCCTATAAGTATAAAACCCGGTTCAACAGGTTATGACGTCCTATCCTTCAGGATTCAACTATCGTTTTTCTACAAGCGTGCACTCGCAACTGTAGAAGTGTCTCAAACAACTCTTGATCGTTCCTAAATCACAGTAATATAAGTAGTAGTATATTTATTGGTATATCAGAACACTGGTTGCAGCAGGTTGGCATACAAATCACGAAATCTAAGCAGGCTTGCACTGTTATTGTTACACTATTATAATATTTGGATATTAAATTTATTTGAAAATAAAATCACTTTCCAAAAAAAAACGTATGAATCAAGGTGCATTAAATATAATTCAAAAACAAAATCACTTTAAAAAAAATACCCATGAATCAATGTGTATTAAAGATAATTTAAAATTTAGATAAAAGATTTAACAATAAGTATATATATGTATTAAAGTTTTCCTATAAAACTAGGAGATATTTAATGCACCACTTTTCAAAGAAAAAACACATGGATTAATAGAGGGCAAAAATGTCACAAAAAATCAATAAAATTCAAATAATGTACTTAGATGCAAATAAGTATCAAAATTAAGGACTTAATTATCCAACATTTATTTTCTATGTACTTTTTTACAATTAAGTCTAATTTGGTGTACCTCATTCCAATTTCTTCCATATCTTTTTATGCTTACCTTAAAATTTGGGTTATACTTGGTTTTTTTGGAGAGGAAGGGCATTGAATCCATGGAAATGGCATGGGGTTTATTCCCGAGCGAAGAAAGATATATGTGCCTTAAAGTGGCTTAAGATGAGAGCGGATCTTTGCATAACAGTAAAATTGATTCATTATAATCTGAAAGTCACGGGTTCAAGTCACATAAACAGTCTTTCTGATTGCAGAGGTAAGATTACGTACATATAATCTTACTCAGAATCCGCAATGATAGGAGCCTTTAAAATGAATTAACATAAAAAATCATACTTCATGAATTCTTACACAGGATGTAATGCTTAACTTGTGTAACACTATGATTAAGCTATGCACTTATTGTTCAAGAAGTAAAAAAAAAAGCTATGCACTGGAGCATAACTTTGGATTTATTGTTTTCATTAATGAGTAGTCATTCTAATTAAACATCAAAACATCGTTTCATCTCATTGTTTTGCTCATTTAAGAAACGAAAATGTTTCAAAAAGATTTCTGAAACTTTTAAGAAATATAATGAAAATAGATAAAAAAAAATAAAAATTTAGAAATTTATTTTTAAAAAATTTTAAAATATTGGTCTAAATATATCTAAACATTTTGAAACATTTCAAAACATTCCAAAATATTGGTGAAAACATACGGAAACATCTTGAAATAACTCAAAACATTTCAAAATACTTTGAAAAACTTCAAAGCACGGGAATTTCGATTCGATTAATAATTTGTTTCTCATTAGAAACAAAAACTTTTAGTCTTTTCAAAATGATATTTTAATCTTAAATTTCTAACTGCGCGTCTTATTGAAATTATATCTCCGTAACATCCGCAGGTACTATATGCAATCACTTACAAATTACGGATATTAGTCAAATATGGATTTTATTTGAATTTAGGGACTTACTTCAGGACGTGCATTATTACTTCTTATTTTGTGTGTGTGTGAGAGAGAGAGACCAAGGATCAGTCATCAAGAGCATAAAGGGTAGGCATTGTTTTACTAAAAGCACAAGAATATATTATAACAATTACAATGGAAGCATCTTCATCACAATCATTGTCCATTTCATCTGGTGATGGGCAGCCTCATTTGATACCTGAAAGACCATTTACTATTTACTTATAATTCTTTCAAGTCCCTCTTTTGCCTTGAGAAAGCATGAGTTTTATTAATTTTATCCCAACTCTTTTGATCTGATCCATCCATTATTTCAAGGAATCAAAGAATACTTGGGTGGAAGATCAATTGATCATTGGTGCTTTAGTTGAAAGCCATTTCAAAAATCTTCTTTCTTTGGAGAAACACTATAGTGATGAAACTATTTTTCTCCCATTAGACTTGTAATTTGCAAATCCTTTGCTCTTTTTCTTTCTCTCTTCTAAACTTGCCCTATCCTATTCCAGTGGGAACTCTGATAGAAGTGTAATTAATGCTCTTTCCAACTATCAGGGCTGTTAAAACTCACTGCTCTTGTAGCTCCTCAGAACCTAACCTCTAGAATTCCACCATTCGGGTGTCGCTTCTAGTGTAAGAGGTCAAGCATTCTGCAAGACATGTTTGCCATGAATTGCCATGAATGACATGGCTTGTCAAAACTCCATTGGATTTGTGTGCAAATTACGCGATTGATGTGCTCAAGGCTAAATCAGTGTAATTAGGTCATCATAGTTTTCTATACCGGTTGACATCAATGTGCCACTAGTCTCTTGCATTTTTGGGTAACACTACTATACCACCAACCTACTTGTTGGTATGATACCGAAAAGTAAGGTGGGTTGTATATGTGACACGTAGTTGTTTAAAACCAGTTTCACTAGTTGTTTTCAAAAAATAATACATAGTCCAAAAAGAGTTGTAACACATCCAATAGAGTTATACCTCATCCACTAAAGTTGAAACTCCTACCCAAAAAATTGGAACCCACCCCAAAAAAGTTGGAATCTCATACGAAAAAAGTTGGAACCTTTACTGAAAAATTATTAATTCAATTCAAAGAAAGTTGAAACCTCAAGCAAAACTTGGAACTCAAAGAGTTGCAATCTCTACCCAACAATTAGAACCAACCCCCAAAAAGTTATAACTCAATTAAAAAAATTGAAATGTGAGTCAAAAATATAAATTAATGCATAAAAGTTGAAACTCTATCATAAAAAGTTAGAACCATCTCAAAAAAATATAATTCAATCCTAAAAAATTAAACCTCATACCAAAAGCTTATAACTCAATTCAAAATAGTTGAAATCTGACCAAAACAGTTGTAATCTAGCTAATCCGAGTCACCTAAAAAATTGGAACCCAATCCAAAAAAAAGTTATAACCTTGACCCAAATAGTTGGAAGCATTATTTACAATTCTTTTAATTATTTGATTTTATTCATTATTTATTTGTTGTTAATAAAAAAATAGGACTATTTAAAAAATATTGAATATGTTTGGACTACAGCAGGATTTTTCTGATTATTTAAGGGATAAAAGTGTGATAGTTAAGAGATAAAAGTGTGATATTAACCTCCGGATTGGTCTTGCATTTCTTTGGCCGGTCTTAATTCAAATTACACTTCGACCCCACAAATAACAATATATTATTTTTTTTAATTTCTAGTGAATATTGTAATCTACAAATCACAAAAACTTTATCTTTTCTCTCCACCTACATTCCTGCCCAAACCAATTTTCAATTCTCTTGCCTTCTGTCCATCTTTTTTCCCTTCCCAAACCATTTTTTACTTTTCTTACCTTCCCTCCATTCTTTTACCGTACATCCATTCTCCCTTTTACCATATAAAAGTATTCGTTTGGTTTAGAATTTGGTATTAATATGATGAATTGAATGTTTATTTGATGAAATTGAATGTTCATTAGGTATAAATTTGATGAATTGAATATTAAATGGGATTAGATGAAATTTAATATTAATTTATGGAATTGAATATTAATTTCGTATTGATTTGATGAATTAAATGTTTATTGAATGAAATTATATGTTACTTAGATGTTGTTTTGTTAAATTGAACCTTTATTGGATGATTTTTTATGCCAATTTGATAAATTGAGTGTTAATTTAATGAATTTGAATATAAATTGGATGAATTAAATAATAATTTTGTGTTAATTTAATGAATTGAATATTAATTAGATGTGATTGAATGTTAAGTTGATAAATTAAATGTTTATTAGATGAACTTGCGTGTTGATTTGAAGAATTGAATGTTAATTTGTTATTTATTTGAAAAATTAAATGTTTATTGGACGAAATTGCATGTTACTGTGGTTTTAATTTGTTAAATTGAATCTTTATTAGAGGATTTTTGATGTTAATTTTATAAATTGAATATTAATTGAATGAATTTGAATATAAATTGGATGAGATTGAATGTTATGTTGATGAATTAAATGTTTATTAGTTAAATTTTAATGTTAGTTTAATAAATTAAATGTTTGTTAGGTAAAATTAAATGTTGATTTGAAGAATTGAATGTTAATTTGATGTATATTTGATGAATTGAATATTAATTTGATGAAATTGCATGTTTTTTTGATGTTTGATTTGATAAATTGAAAATTTATTGAATGATTTTGGATGTTAATTAACATTCAATCTCATCAAATTAAGATTCAATTTATCAAATTAACACCAAATTAATATTCAATTCATCCAATTTATATTCAAATCCATTCAATTAACACTTATTTTATCAAATTAACATCCAAAATCATCCAATAAATATTTAATTTATCAAATCAACATCAAAGTA